ACCACAAGCCTTTTTAGGGCAAGTGACGGTTCCCTTCTCCCCTGGGGAAGAAGGCTCTGCTACAGCTTATCTATCTGTCAAGGGAGGTTAGCAAGGGAATCTGGCATATGTTTAGGCTTTTCAGTGTGCAGCTCTGCTCTAAATCACATTTCCATGTGGCAGCACAATTGGGATGGCTCCAGCACTGCAGACGACAACCTGTTCATGCTGGCTGGTCAGGGTGATTTAGCCAATAACAAGCCAAAGTCAGCATCCCTTGGGTGTTTATGAGGGGGCTATGACCTCAGTTCTCACCTGCTCTGCCCCTTGAGCTGTCTTTTCCATTGGGGTAAAGTAGGAGTAAGATAATACACCTAGGATTTAGTAACTGTCTGTATCAGGGCCAGCTTTAGTCACAGAGGTTGCTTTCAGGCAGCAAATTGCTGAGGACAGCAAATCAGCCTGGCAGTAAGCATTCTGCAAACCTGTTGCCTCATCTAGCTTCACCCTGTGCCCGCCTCATCTTCAGTGATGCAGCTGCTGCTGGGGCAGGAGGCAGATCACAGCAAGGGCCTGGGCTTCTTCCTCCCCAGCGCCAGGAGTATAAAGAAGTGACAGGGAGCAAGGGGAGTGTAACACCAAACAAGCTTTCAGACATGGGAAGTTATTTTTAACTCATTCATGAGCAGCAAATATCATGTGTGGCCAAGGAGCTTTTCTCAGCACACAAGAAAACATCATTGGGAAGTGAAGAACAGGCACAAAACCATGCCGGCTGCTGATGTTTCAAGGGCACGCTGTCGGCAGGCTGAGCTGAGGAGGCTGAAGAAGCCCTGGAGTATGATGGTCCGCTCGCCTCCCCCAGGCATGATGCCTCTGGGGTGCAAGATAATGTCAAGTGGGCAAGATAGAAAGTGGCGAACCAAGGTCCCTCCCTGCCCCATACTGAAACCAGTAGGTTTGTCCTCAACACAGTTTCTCATTTGCACAGAATTTCAGGGGATGATGCTAAAGAGGAGGCAGGGAGAGAGATATTCCTAATTCTCCCAAAAGGGCTTTTGACTCCATTTTGTTCTGGGGATATAGGTTTGCTTTCCAACCTGCAGGCCTGCCTGCTTTATGGTTGTAAGGGTAGCGCAGGGATGCTTGGGCAAGCTCCTACCTATAGCTCACCACAAGAAGAAGGGGCACTGTTTCCTCTGCCAGGGCACTAATTCACAATACCTGGCTGCAATACTAATGCACAAAACCCGTTGCTTCCCTCAAGAGACTCTGGGAGCTGAACAGTTGGAGGTGTTGAGTCATTTACAGTGAAGTAGAGAAGGCATTTGTTGCCTGTTTTACGTTGCAGGCAGGTATCTGATTGCCTGTCCTGTGCACTTTCAGTTCAAATTGGAAGTGAAATAGTAAAGCCTGCTGTGTTTGGGAACAGTGACCCCATGAAGGTGTGGTCCTTGGAGCAGGAGGTGAAATGCTGGGGGAGAAAGAGAACAAGGTGGTGGAGGGGATGAACCAGGGAGCAAATCTTGCAATTTAACATTCAGGAACCTTGGTAGAAGGTGAGACTCTTGGGCTTTCATTTCTTCTGTCATGAATGTGTTTATATAATGATTCTGAAATGCAAAATGTAAAAACAGTCCTGAGAGTACAGGCATGGTGTCCTGGAGTTCTCCTTTCTATATGAATCCCAGATCATTTGATTATTACATAAAGGTGACCAACATCCACAGCAAAATATCTTCTAACATCAGCTCCTGTCTTGCTGTTAGGCCAATACTGAGAGAGGTATGAATTGGCTTTCATCGCAGAAATAAAGGTGTGGACCCTGAAACCTAATGATTACATATTTCTCTCAGAGTAACAACCAAAGTGTTTATCATAGGTAACTGGATGAAAGAAATCTCTTAAGATAAATGACAGCAGATAAATGAGAGACTGTTTTTTTTTTTCTGTACAGTTGCCCAGGATCGTTTAGTAAGAATTCAGACACACCCAAAGAGTCTTAACAGTGTTAGCTTGGGCCAGGAATTAGAGTTTCTTTCCTAAAAATGATTCTGTGGAAAAATGTGAAGTGCAGCTGGGACCTTGAAGTCTTGTGGGATGGGAGGCTGAAAGTGTACTTGGCAAAAGTGATTTTTGTTTTATTTTTACTGCTGAATCACTCATTTTTTTGTTGGTTGCCACTGAAAATAAGTTGATAATGGAAATGTCCATTTGCCAATTTTTCTATGTCACTTTTCGTCCTGGGGGGAAAGAAAACAAAGATAAACTGTACTCCATCAGTAATCATGAGGCCTGAAATTAACCTTTTACTCACTTGCCTTATTCTGGCACACATTCAAAGTGTGGGAGTTCTGAATTAACCACCAAAACAGCACCAAACTGGGAGATGGGCTTGATTTTGGTAGGTAGGATTAGAAAGCAGAAAACCAATGTGTTCATTGCTGCTTGAACTTCAGACAGAGCCTGCAGAATCTCTGAAGGTCCCAGCAGCAGCTGCAGATTGAGCTGGACGCAAAGCAGAGCCCTTAGCAGCTTGCCAAGGAGTACCTGGGGCCTTGTCTGTGTCATCCATGCTTAATGAGCCTGGTCCTCTTGGCACCGAAGGGCAGTCTGTTCTGTCATTTATGCATGCTCATGACAAGATGTTTTACCACTTCAGCATAAAACGGTCTTATGGAGTGCTTTCTGCCTGCCCTTAGCAGAGGAACGATGCAACAGCTGAACTCCACAATACACAGTGTTTGAGATTTAAACCAGGAACAGTGGAGCTCTGCATTATTCTCAGATCCCAAAGTGTGCACCAAGTCCCGCTGCTGCTCCAGCTGCATCTGAAGGTGACATGCGGGAACACTTCTGCAGTTCTTTAGCAGGGGTTTGAAGCCAGAGCTGTTACTGTCAGCCCAGCCCTGCAGCCCTCTTCCCTGCACTGGCTTTGCCCAGTCCAGAAGTGAGCAGGCAGACAGAAGGGGTGTCAGAGAAGGTGGGAGCAAGTCATGTAGCCGCCTCACCTCTGGCCTTCTTCGCCTTCAGGAAACATTTTTTGCTCCTGTGTATACTCCAAAGCTCGAAGCTGCCGCATGTTTCTTAGTGAGATGTTTCCCTAATGTAATTTCCCAAGCTGGTAGTGTAATGTTTTTCCTCACAGATAGATCATAACCTCAGGCAGAGTGAGACTTCAGACACGGGTACATCTATGAAAAAAATGGCATCCTCTTCTGTCAAGCAACAGTTAAAAGAAAATCTGCAAAGGGATTAGCTGCCATATACTCTGGGGCTTGCTGACAGATGTCCTGAAAATCTGGAAATGCATCGATCTATCTTTATACAGGGTTGTTTGGGGCTTTTTTTTGTTCTTCCTCATTCTCCCTCTCCTCATCCCTCTGCCCAGGGCAAACAAATGGGAATTCCTTCACAGAGCTGCCTGGGAACTGCCTTGGTGCCACGCATTAAACGGCATACTGGTCCTGGGGTGCAATCTAGGCTGAGCTGCACTCAAAACCTTAGTCTAGTTACAGATGCCAGCTTCCCTGCAATGGCAGCACTGCTGCTTTGTGCCAGAGCACTAAGGATTTCCTCTCTGTTCCAACTGCAACCTCTCAGCTCATTTTAAAGGAGCTTAAATGTTGGCCATTAAATATAAATATCTTCTTTTTCCTCTGGGTGAAACTGATGTTCAGAACTTCACAGTGTAAATAAGGTCTGCAGAAAACGTTTTAGGCGATGTTTCAGCCAAAATAAATGGCTCTGGCCATTTCTACCTGCTTTAGCTCTAGGTGAGTCTCTTCTTGCTTTCACAGTGTTGCAGAAGAGCTTTGGCCTGATTATGGCTTTCCCCCAAGCACATCTTCAGGCTTCGAGTAGCCAGAACACCCTGAAATGTGTGGATTTTGTTGAGTGATCTTGGGCAAATCACATAGGACAAGTGCTGTCTGTTTCTGGATGGCTTGATTCTGATTGCTTGATTTGAAACGCCCAGGTGGCCTCTGAGAGGAGGGGGATGTGGATGCACACACATCCCCCTCACTCCCAGAGGTACAGGATACAGCCTTTTAAACTGTTCTCCAGCTCTGGCTGGACTTGCTGCCCTCAGGGAAGAAATTGCTCCTGCAACTGCAGTTAGACCTCCCTCTCCTCATTTTCTGGTATCTCTTTTCCTCGCACACAGGAACAAATCACTCCTTCTGACTTGTGGAGGAATTGGGAACCTCCTTCCTTGCTTGGTTGAGCCCAATCCCCTTTTTGCTATACTCTGTTACCATTAGCCATGCAGGTCACTGCTTGCTCCTAAAGGCTGCAAATCTGTCTTGTTCTCTCAGACAAATCCGTCTGTTCTCTCCCCTGCTTGCTGATCGGAGGAGTGGGGTAAATACACACTGGATCCAGTACTTGAGGGTGTGCAGTGTTTTGTCCTGAAGAAGGACCAGCATTCTTATTTCATGACATACAGGTTGCTTTTCTGCCAAACCTCTTTTCTCTGAGGGCCAGACAATCATCTGACTTCACTCTTCATCTGTGGCTCATGGGAAGCCTGTTCACATTGGGGAGCAGCATATCTGGAGTCTGGATGTTGACATCACTTTGATTTCCTAGGGCAAGGGATGTAGCTCTCACTCACAGCTGTTGTATTACAGCACCCTTTGGCAGCCCAGAGGTTTGGAGACATCTACCCTGGCCCTTGGCCGCACAGCAGCCGCACAGCCTTGCCTTTTGCTCAGGCTTTAGACACCCACTGTTTGTGCTTCTCCTGCTAGAGAAAGCAAGGCCAACAGGAATCACCTGTGACTTGGTATGAGCACAGAGTAGCTCAGCAAATGACAGCATAGGGAACAATTTTCCCTTTGCTGTGAAAGCGAGCTCCCACCAACCGGCCTCTATCCTTGCCTGCTGAGGCGGGCAATGGGAAAACAAGCCTGAGCACACTTCTAGCAGTAACGGAGCAACAAGAAAGATGATGGTGTGGGTTGCAACCTAACATGTATATCATCAGCATCGCTTGAGTCACGCCCATCTGCCTCCAGCTATTGCAGCGATCCCACTGCCAAAGAGCAACCACATGGCCTGACCAAAATGATCCAGCTGCTGCTGAGGGCAGAGCTGCTGAATGATTCAGTTGTGCTGGGAGGACAAGGCAGCCCAGATCTGTCTTCCTGGAAAGCTGCTTTGCAGTAACCTGTGCTTGAAAAGATATTGTCTTTGAGGTGACTGTGGTGCTTGTTCCTGTTCAACCATGTGAATAAGACGTGCAGATGGATAGACATCCATTGGGAGCCAGAGCCCCACCTTGAGAGCTCAAAATGCGGAGGCAAGCCCAAGGGAGGGCAGGCTGCCTACTTAGGGTTAGAAAAGCCACCCTGCCCAATCCTCAGTTTCCCCACTGATGCAAGAGCGAGGCCAATGTTTTCCCCAAAAGAGTGTTTGTGAAGTCCTCTGAAGAAGGGCGCTCTCATAAATGCCACGCTATTTTTATTATTGGGGTCAGGGAGGAGAACATGCATAAAGGTGATGAAGCTTTTGAAACACAGGTTCCCATTAATAGTCTTTAGGAGTTCTTATTATAATCTAATTTGACTGGAATTGGATTACTCTTATAATGCTATAATGTCATTTCCATGGTCTTTTTGTATTTTTATTGTTACTATGCACTAATGCAATATCCTGCCAGAGCTCTGAGAAGAGGATGTGAGTTTAGTGAATTGTTGATAACATTTTTGCAGGGCATTTTTATTGCTCCTGTTGGGCTCATACACTGTAAAGTCCCACAGTGCCTGGAAATAGCAGGAACATCCCCAAAGTCATCTTGAATTATCTTGTAACAGGGTCCACTGGTGAAAGCAATGTATTCAGAGCCAAGACACCAGGGGTCTGCTCCCAGCTGGTCCCTGACCTGTGCCGGGAGCTCACCTGAATCATGCCACTGTTTTTCTCCCCCTCTTCAGCTGGAAGTGGAAATAATTTGCCCATATAGGAATGTAGTGGGTCTGTGGTCTATATCCCTGACCATCTAAAAAAGTTTCCTTGTATCATCAAGCTTTAATGCTTCCTTTTCATTGAGTTTATCCTGGAAAAAAAAATGCTTTTTTCCTGCCTGTGTCCTGTATTTCTTAATTTGCCTTTTATTTTTCTTCTGCTATTATTTGTTTCTCTATTTATGCATCTTTTGAAGCACTGTCTTTATCCTGCACCTATTTAAAGATGCTGAAAGTTTTTATTTCAAAGTAGCCCCATGGTGCTTGCTCTGAACATTCATGGGCCTGTCCATGAGGACTTGGAAAGGAGGCTGCATGTGAACATAAAGCAAGCTGCGCAATATTCCAGTGGATGACGTTTCAGTCCTCAAATCATCTAAGAGAAAAGGTAAATAGACTGGTATTTTCTGTTAGCTCTTATCATCAACTCTGTTTCTTTTCCAAATCTTACTTGAAGGCAGTCTTGATGTAATTAAAGCTCAAGGGCTAAAGCGTTAGTTTCATTTTCCGTGCAAATGCAACGCTAACCCTTTCTCTTCTGTATGTCTGTGGTTATTCTGTTCCATGGCTCCTCCGTTCAAAGAACATGACAAAGCTGCAAATTAAACCTCCTACTCTGCAAATGGCACAGCTTAACATTATTAGCCCACAGAAAGAGAATTTGAGGGGTCACTGGGAGCTGGCTACCAACGCATCTGTCACGCCAGCCACACTGGGAAGCGAATCCATATGGTGAGACAGCCAGCTTCTGACTTCTGCTGACTTCAGCTTCTAAGGACTTGGCATCTTTTATTAGAAGTTTTGGAACTGTGCTGGTTTCTGCCTTTTTGTGACACAGGAGGGTTGGGGATCCTGCATTTGCATCACCAAGGGGATGCACTGGGGCTCCATGTGTAGACGCAAGAGTCTCCTGCCAAGGGTCCTTGCAGGAATAGAGCATTAGAACGGGACCTCATGCTGCTATTGCTGTCACTTCTGGCCTCTTATTTTTGTGAGCAAACAAGCAACCGGGGGGTTTGTTTGTAAGGATGTAGGAACATCTGTGCCATGGAGGGCTTTCTCATTCCTCTGTTATTTACAAACAACATAAACCCCAGCCCCCAGTGTTGCCGTGTTTATACATTCCAGTGTTTTCTGGATATACTTTCAATGCATTTCTGCCGTTGACACACTGTAGTGTTGACTGCCACAGCAGCATCCCAAGCACAGCAGTGCCCGCACATGGCGAAGGCTCCCATCTGGCAACCGGGCGTGAACGCCCGCCCTGGCTTAGGGTCTCGCAGCGGGACGGTCACGACTTGGTCGAAACTTGCAAAGCCCGGCTGTTCTTTTTTGTTTGCATGAGAACAAAGGAGAGCAGTTATGCCATTTCCCAAGAAGCCGGGTTTGCTAGGAGCGCCGGGAACTCTCTTTTCCCCTTAAAACAAAGGAACCCTCTTTAACCCCGCGCTCTTTCCCGAGCCCGGCTCCACCGCCCCACGCCACAGCCTGTCACAACCACGCTCCGCACCCCTCCTCGACGCCCTCATCCCAGCACAGCCCGCGGGGAAGGAGCATTCCAGGCCCCGCTACCCGCCTTCCTCGCCCGCCGCCCGGGGTGAGGAGGAGGGAGCGGTTGGTGGCGGCGGGGCGGGCCGGGGGAGGAGTTAGTCTGCGCGGAGGAAGCGCCGGGCACCCCGCGGCGGCAGCAGCAGCGCCGGGCGGGCGGTTGGGCGGGCAGGTGAGGGCGGCGGGCCGTGGGCACAGCGCCCCGCATATTGTTACAACTTTTTGGGGTGGTTTGTTTCTTTTTTTGCTGTTGCTCTGTGCGCACACACCCCTCCCCCCTCTCATCCGCGTATTAATTGTTTTTCGGACGAGACGCGCTTTCTCCCCTTCCTCCCGCCTCTCCCCAGGGAGCCGTCAGCGCGGAGCGGGGAGGGGAGGCGCGGCGGCCGCCTCGCTGTGGGGGCGATGCCCCCGCCTGCCTTGGCGCCTCCCCGTGCCGCCCCCGCCGCCTTCCCTTTGTGCCACCGGGCTCGGCGCGCCGCCTGTCCCGGGAGCCGGCGCCCCGCGGCGCCCCGCGGCGGGAGGTAAGGGAGGCTGCCGCCCCGCGCCCCGGCAGCCATGCGGACCCTGCGACCGCAGCTCGCCTCCCTCCTCCTGCTCGGTAAGTGGCGGGCGGCGGAGGGGGAGGGATGGGACGGGACGGGTGTCTCCCGAGCGGGACGGGTGTCCTACCTTGCAGGGCTTTCCGGAGGGTCACCCCTGCCGAAAATACCCAGCGCCTTCCCCCGGGAGTTGTCACTGCCCGCTGCGTTCCTGCAGTCGGAGGGAGGAGGGGGAATGAATAAATATATATATATATAAATAAATATATAAATGAAATAAGTCGGTCTTTCCGCTTTACCTGCGATACCCCTGTAACTATCTTCCTCCGAGCCCCGGGGAGCGGTGCGGCGTCCGGCCGTGGGAGCGTCGGGGCCGAGCAGGGCAGGGCACAGCACCTCCACCGCTCTGGGCTCCGACATCACCTTAGGACGCTGAGCAGCCACCACGGCTGCTCCGTGAGGGGGTCAGAAACCGGCGGCTCGGAAGGGCACGGTAAGGATAGGGAATCCCGGGTAGGTCTTGAGCTTGCACAGTGAAGGCGGAGGAAGTGCCTGGGGGGTAAGGTAGGCTGCGGAAACAAAAGTCCTCGGCTCTCGAAGAGTACGTGTAAATGTCGAGGGAAGGCAGTCCCTGCTGTCGTAAAATGCAGTTTGATTGCTTTGTGCTGTCTCGCCGAACTACTCCTGCAGTCTCTTCTCTTTCTGCCAGCGTTTTGTACCCTGTGAACCGTTAAACGCGTGTCTTTGTCCCATCCCATTAAGTACCTGCCCAGGAGGTGACTGTAGACAGTTCTGTAAAGTACTCTGTGAGGGGCCCCGCTGCTGGGTGAGAGGTGCTGGGTGAGAGTGCAAGATGCCTTCCTACAAATTTGGGAAAAGCAGAATACAAGGCAATTAAAATGTCTCTTACATCTCTTGCGGCAGCCCATATGTCTGGTTTAGTATTGAGTTGATATGAATGTTCGTGGTAAATACAGTGCAGCACTGTCACACTGCTTTCTGCCTGTGTACGTACAGAGCAGCTTCGGAGTTGTTTTGATTTGCCTTTTAACTGGTAAGATTTTCTGTTGGCATTAATGCTATTGAGGGAAGAAGCAGCAAGGCTGCTGTTGTACTGTCCTGAGAATCGTCACATACCTGCTCTGCCAATTTGGAAACAACATCTTCACTTGGAATTGCAGCGTGCTTCCATGCCTCTAATTTGCATGTGTGGTTTTTCATGCTGTCTGTCTTTAGGAAGAGAGAGAGATGACTCTTTGAAATGGTTTTGGAGAAGGTTCAAAGTTCCCTTAACCAGTAGCTTTCTTCTTTGGCTTCCCTGAAAAAAAGCCATCTGAAAGCTAAGTTTATCCAGGGTGATTTAGCTCCATGAGTGCAAGTAGTCTGTTGTATACCACAAGATGGGTGTAGACGAACAGGAGTCACTTGCTGCCTTGGCTTTGTGTGCTCAGTCTCTCCTGTTGAAGAACAGTTATATCGTTGTGGATTAAGTCTTCCTAATATGGAACCAGTGAGTGAGCGGCTGGTTTCCTGCACGCTGCTCCGAAGCCGATGCAGCAGCATAGCAGCAGAGGGCATCCATCATCCTGCCGAAGGCTTACTGCGGCGGTACAGAAGTGGGACTCGCCAGGCCTGGGCTGGACACCCTGTGTCTGTGCTAACCCCACTGCCTGACCAGCTGCCAGGGCTGCCCCGACTCGCTGAGTGCAGGACCTGGCTTTCTGGGTTTGACCTAAAGCTAGCTCTGGTGTGCCTTTGCCCTCCTTGGGTTGGGGGTGAACTGCGAGGTGCCTTCTGTCACTTGAAGAATTGGTCCCTAAATCCCACGGACATTTCTAGTTCATAAAAGCATTGTGCTGGCCTCCTTGTGTCAAACGTGGGGTTGTTAAGGGTAGGAAGCATACCATGTGCATGCTTGGAGTTAGTTTTCTTATGGTATTTTTCACCTGGTTTTCTTGAGACAGTTGATCTGCATTTTCTCAGCTGCTGATTTAAAAAAAAACTGCGGATGTGTGACCGTGCCTCAAAACCTCAAGGTGCACAGAAGTGCTTTAGGTTGCTGTTTGTAAAACTGAGACATCATTTGACTTGATGGGGAAGAGGCTGGAGTAAAAGGCCTTATTTTGTAACATAAATCACTGACTGGCTAGAAAAGGACTGTTGCTTTCCAAACAAGTAATGTTAGTGCTAGAATATACTCAACTATAGGTTGTGTATGCAGAAAAAGAAATATAACTAGATTTTTCCTTGTCCTTTTGCAAACTCATTAGAATCACTGAAAGAAGAAATGTGGTTGTGGAAAGAGCCAGTGGATGATTTAATGTAACATATCAGGTATTAGCTAGCTACAAGAATCCAAGTAACTGCAAAACCAGGGTTTGAAAACCCACATCTGGCATGTGGGTGTAACATTTGTAGATCTCTGCTGTTTTTTTTCCCCTCTTGCTGCAGTGTTTGTTACAGGGTTCTTTAAACAAGTGGCACTTCATCACAGCAAGTACAAAATGGGAAAATAGAGCAAGTGCTGTAAATAATCCTCATGCAGCAATGAGACCATTAATACTTGTGCCAGCCAGTGCTAATCCTATGTGCAGTTTCAAGATTTACCTTCTTTCTTTTGTAAGGATGCAAAGTATTTATAGTGTTATATATAGGAAACACAATAGGCTTCTGGGGAATGCTGAATTCATTCAGGCCAGTGGCTGGTTTATGAATGGTTCGGCTTTTGAGTCTCTTGCAGTCTCCAGTATGCCACCTGTAAATGCAATTTACAGCTCTTTGTGTTCAAACATTGCATATGTATATATGTACATAGACTCATTACCCTCTTCCTCTCTTTATGCATAGTAATTGGTGATTTATTTGTGATTCCTAGAGGGGTGTAGAGCCTGTGTAAGGTCTTGAAACTGCAGCTGACTTGTAAATGGCATGTTGGAGTGAAATAATGATACAGAAGTGACTCCTGAAGAAAGAAGGGAACATCTTGAAGGCCTGCCTCCTGGAGGGGAAGGGGTGCTGGCTGTGAAGCAGCAGTATGCAGGTGACTGCTGCTCAATTGTTTGGCTGTCAGGTGTCAGCTGTCACACCCTCCTGCTCTTCTGCTGCCTCTGTGGGCACAGCAGTTGAGGGGGTCCGTATGGGGCTAACACACAAGCTTAGGTGCACTAGAGCTGAAGGCTGCTTGGCTGGAGCGGTAAAGGCAGAGGTCGACAGAGTAGGTGGTGCAGGCCCAGTGTTTGGGGTTGTTTTTGTTTACCAAAGCTGGCCGCCCAGGAATGTCGCTGGTGCCTCATCTGCT